AAAAATGAAGTATTTGATATCAAGGTTGGAAGACGAGGTTAAGGAAATCTAATAGAACAAGGGATGAGAAGACAAAGACATGGAAAATAGAAAAGAAATGAGACTCGGGGAGCAATCGAGGAAGTTCACAATGCAAAGGAAGTTCCGAAAAGTTCAATAAAAGGAAATAAAAGGAGGGAGAAAATATTTAAAAAAATCTTAAACCCCAGATATATTAGGAACATATACTATCAGATGTTAAAATACATTTCTTAGTGCCATCTATCAGGGGTAGGCAAACGGCTTGATGGGTAAGAGTACCTGTCGCCCAAGCATGAGAACAAGAGTTCAAATCCCATCATGGAGTCAAGGCCAGGCTCAACAGTGCATGCCGGTCACTGCAGCGTTCTGAGGGCAGAGGCAGGGGGATCACAGGTTCAGTGGGAAACCCTGTCTCATGTGAATAAGGTGGAGGGTGACATAGCAGGACACTGGCCATCCTCCTTTGACCTCCAAGCACAGGCAGACATGTATCTGCACACACCACACCCACAGCCACATACAAGAGGAACACATGCCATAGAATCACACATCATGAAGGAAAGAAGTCACACCAAGATCACAAGATCTTAAAGGATTGAGCAAAGGTGTGAACCCACATCGCTGGGCTGCTCCACACCGTGGATGTCACAGGATCACGAAGAAATGTCTTTAAGGCCGGGTGTGTTCTGACTTACAGTAGAAATGAAAACAGAGAAATGCCGTGGGATCAGCAAGAAAATGGCTTAGTGACATCAAGTGGCTGCCTTCCTGGAGAGGTAGCGGGGAGGGTTGCTGCTGCCGGGTTTTTTTTTTGTTTGTTTGTTTTTAACCAAAAGTCTGCAGTGCCAGTCTGAACTAGGTACATGTGTCTCTTGAGAAAAGTAAGCACATGTTTTGAGAAAACTAACAAAAAAGGATTCTAGCTAGTAAAGGTAAGGATGTTCAAAGAGATGCCCAGGATGTCTGTGAGCCCCGGAGGCCTGAGCTTCCTGTGGCGATGTCACAGGTAGCAGGTTTACACTAGCAGAACTCACACACTTTGGAAAAACAAAAGGAAAAGCGGAAAGCATACCTACTAGGACATGCACAGAGCCCCCCACGGAAGACATGCGGGTGAAGCAGCAGGGCTGTGTGGATCAGACGCCTACATCACCTATAGGAAATGGGTCGCTCTGCACGCGCCCGTGCGGGAATTGTACTCTAGGTTGCCCATGTCCTCCCTTGGCCAGCTGGGGGGGTCGCAGGCCTTTGGGTCCCTTCTGCATAGTTGCTTCCCTGTTTTGTGTTTGCCAGTCCCACTGGTTAGAGTTTGCCTTCCCAGCCATCTCACTGGCACTCCAAGGGTTCAAAACCGCCCCTGACAGGTGTCCTTTTAGACGGCTTTCCCAGTCCTCCTCCTTGCTCTTAGAAACAACTTTGAGTCACTAGTGGCCATGCGTTCTCCAGGGAAGCCCACAGGCAGCTGACAACACAGCTCTGGCCCACGTGTTGCTAATTTTTACCAAATGGCTTCTTAAATAGCCTTGAGTTTTAGATACAGGGTTGGACACTGTGCAAAAACTAGCTGGGGGGCGGAGATGTTGTTCTCGAGAAACAGCGAAATTAGGAAAACATAACAAACAAGAGCCAAGTAAGAACTGGTTGTTTCATCTCAGAAGTACGCATTAAGAAAAAAAAAACCAGACATCAATGCAGGAGGCTCAGTTATGACGACAGGATACGGAAATTTATTTTTACAAGGTGGGAGGTACAGGGAAAGAGACGTGATCCAAGAAATGACACAGAGGGCATGTCCTGGAGAAGACGGGGCAAAGAGCTATGGTAGGAACCTCAGCGATATTTACAGGGCAGAAGTTTTAGCTGTTTACAGGAAAAAGAAAAGCTGGAAAGGGATGGGAAGAGGATGTAGTAAGAAGAGGGAAGGGGAAAGGTGGGGGAAGCCCGGGGTTACCGCTGGAGCAGGAATTTACAGCGAATACACACCAACAACCAGGGAATGAGGGCATGAGCTCATTCACCTGAACGTCAATTTGACTCCAACTGACTTTCTAAGAAAGAAAAGGTTGGCTTTTACTTTTAAAATTGGATTTTTTTTTCCTTACTTAAAAAATATTTTCCTGGTGGCAGAATGCACATGCATACATGAGAAAATTCAGACTATTCAGCCAACAGTAAAAAGGAAAATAACAATGCTACAGCAGAATGCCATTCCTTGGCATTGAGATGTTCCTTTTAAGGCTACTAAGCAGTAGAAGCCAGTCTACACCACACCAACTGTTTTGAGGGGGTGCTTGTTTTAACATTAGGGGCATTTCCTTATGCATAACCATTTGCTAATCCCATACTTTCATTTATAGCATATGCCTGTCCAAAATATTTCTATTGGTCACAATTTTTTAACCATTAAAAGTAACAGAGAAGGGTTGTTGAGATGGCTCAGTGGTTAAGAGCACTGCTCTTCCAGAGGACCGGGGTTTTGTTCCCAGCACCCGCAGGGCTGCCCACAACCATCTGTAACTCCAGTTCCGGGGGATCTGATGCCCTCTTCCGGCCTCCACAGGCACTGCACAGATGGGGTACATAGACTCACATGCAGGGAAGATGCTCACTTACTTAAAAATAAATAATTGCTATGTAACTAATAATTACCTTTGTTTTATTTGATCATTATGAGGAATAACATGTAAATTCTACAAAGCTGATTTCCTAGATAAAAGCCATTAAAAAGCTCGCTTGAACTTTGTTTGTTCATTTGTTTGGAAACAGTTTCACTGTGTTTTCCTGGCTGGGCTCAAACTTACAGAGGCTCACCTGCTGAAATTAAAGGCATGTTCAATCACATCTGGCTTGTTTCTTTTCTTTTCTTTTTTTTTAAAAAAAAAAATACCCAGAAAGTAAGGGTATTTCTACTTGTTCTTGAGAGAAACCTCAGTCCCTACTGGTCCCACATGAGTAACTGTGTAACTTTCTCGAAATAAATGTATCTAATATTATCATACTATTTCATTGCTCAAGCCATTCATTAAAACTAAGCATTGGCCATGGTCTTTTGGGCCTGGCAAGGCCCATCAGAATTCTACCAGCAAAGCAGAAAACGGCAAGGACTAACATTTGGTGTTTGTCTGTAACCCATGTCAGAGTCTGTGCCCCGTGCCTACCCACAGCATAAATGACTACATTGAGAGCTACGAAAATACCGGTTCACAATCAGATCAACACTGGAAATGGTGTGTTTGCAGAGAGACACTCACACGCTTATGTAAGTATCTCAAAACTTGTTTCAAATGGGAGGCTGTTACTACGTCAACAGAAAAGCAGCTATGTTTGCCTGCCGGTGCTCTGCACTAAGAAGCAGTTGTTCTAAGGAACCCTTGCCAGGAAGGATTCTGTCCACCCTGAGGGCACCTCTGAGATGGAAGGGATGCTCCACGCAGATTTAATCCAGATGCTGCTTCAGCTGACCGAGCCCTTTCAAAATATGACCCCTCCAGCCCAAGGCCTCAGGGAGCCACTTGCAAGCACTAGGACCCCAAATGATCCCTAAAACAAACAAACACCCTAAACAAAAACACACCTTGTTCCAGCAAAGACTTTGTTTCTAGCTAGCCTACTTAGGAAGGGGTTAGTAAGGGTCTCGGAGGACGGAGGGGTATCATCACACCCACATGTCTGCAGAACATGCAAGTTGGAATTAATCATCTTTGGTTTGGCTCAGAAGAAATACTGGCATTAAAAACAGCCCGAGCAGAAGCATAATTTGTATTAAGATTAACAATGGATCATTTGACGGCATGCAATCTCATAAACTTCGTGATGCATCTGGGCTCCCCAAAGCATCCTTGCATGTTTGCCTCTGTGTTTGCTTGCTTCTGAACTTAATGTTAAAGTGTATAAAGGGTTGTATTTCCATTGATAGAAATTTATATATTTTAATGAAATCATTATTAAAATATCAGCGTCCACATTTCAAAGACGTTTCCCGCTGGTTTGCAGTTGCAGCTGATGTAAAACCTAGTCACACTTTTCTTTACTCAGACAGGATTTCTTTAGATCAAGTTGTCATGTGGAGACAAGAAGACACTGTGAGGTTTGGGGCTTAGAAGGCTGTGAGGAACAAGACTGAAGCCACAGAGCTCAGGCCTATCTCCGCAGGCCAGCACCACCTCCAGCCTGGTAGCTCCCATCAAGCTGGGGACTGGGGGTAGAGAATGGGGGACACAAGTGGGAGCCACAAAAACGCAGAGTTGCCTAAAGGACACTGTCAGCATTCCACGAGGAAGGACGCACAGACAGCAACTGCCAGTAAAGACCTCACCTCCCCACTCCCACACCCTCCCCTATGAATAAACTAGCAACTCTTGCTGAAATGGAGCTGAGATCGAGCTGAATGCCTCAGACAGAGATGCCTATACTCCTAAATCATGTGACTGAGAAATCCAACTGTTGCTGGCAAAATGGCAAATGTTTAAACATTCAACGGCCCTACAAGATCCCCTCTCCACTTCACTCTCTGATTTCTGAAGGCCAAGAGTCCATATTTTCCATCATTCATCGCCTATTAAGACAGCCGACGGTTCATCTAGGCGGTATAAAACGCTGAGAGGGAGGCCCAAGGACCCCTGACCTCCTATCACTCCTTGGCTAATGAACCGGAAGAAAACTACAGAGGTATGCCACATTGCGTCATGTGACTTCTGTTGCCTGCTTTCCTCACAGGGAAAATGGAACAGAATTTAAAATTTTGTTGACAGCAGTCAGGAATAGGATGTTGGATCCCTAGGCATTCATGTACAAAAAAGGTTTTTACTGAACCTCTCTCTCTTTCTCCAACTCCGAGATGAAACCACACAAAGATATACAGGAGAGGATTCCTGGTGGTTATCGGGCTCCATTTCAGGCCAAGCCTGGTGCCCATGGTACACACAGGACAGCCTGGCACGTGGAAGAACGACTGCCACCGTGCGCCACGGCTCACTTACCTGACCGTGGGCTGGAAGCGCAGCGTAGGCCATGGGTGGATTCATCACTCCTTTCTGCTTCATGAGAAGCATGCGCTTCTGGTCCTCACTCAGATGTGCCCTGGGAGCCTGCAGCTGTGGTGGAGGCGGAGGCTGCTGCTGGGAAGGCTGGGGCTGCGGCTGGGGCTGGGGCTGCGGAGGCTGCTGCTGGATGTAGGGCATCAAGGGGTTTTTGTTGGGGTTGGCCATGGGGGGCGTCATCCTCGGATTCAAGTCCGCATTAAAATGGGTCAGGGGCTTAGTGTTGCCGTAGGTGAGAATATTGTGCTGTTTGGTTAAGGAGTTTGTACCCAAGTTATTTGGCTGCTGACCGATCATATTCATGTGATTGGAGGGGAGGTAGTTGTTCATGTTCGTCTTCTGCAGGCTGTTGGCCATTGCAGGCACTATAGTGTTTTGGTTGTTAAAGGCTTGGGGGTACATCATTGGGCTATTTGGTTTTTCTGCAGTGAAAGCTGCTCCATATGGACTTGACGGAGGCCCTAAGGGAGACCAACTTGAAGTCTGATTTGAGTGCGGCTGCTGCTGCTGTTGCTGTTGCTGCTGCTGCTGTTGTTGTTGTTGCTGCTGCTGCTGCTGCTTCTGCTGCATGAGCTTGGCCCTCTGTTGTTGCTGGGCAGCCATCTGTTTGAGTTGCTCTGCCGGAGACATGTCAGAGCTGGGCCCCGCCACCGAGCCTGACCCTGAACCAGATACCGCCACCGAGACTGGATTAAGAAGATAGCCGTTGCCAGGCCGCGGTGGGGCTTGACCCGGAGTGTGGGCTTGCGTAGGAGTTTGGGGGGACTGGACGGCACAGTTAGCTGGTGAGCTGGCAGGGTTTGGAGCCACGGGAGTGTTGGCCACGGATGGCAAGCTAGTGGCTGTGGAGACAGTAGAAAAGGGAGGACCGGAAGATGAAGGTCTGGCCTGGGGCGATCCCATCGAGACGTGCGCAAAAGGAGAATGAGAAGCATCACTTTTCATGCTGGCACTCTCGTGGGAGAGTGGGGTCTCCATGGTTGTCTGTGAGAATTCTTGGTCCTTCTTCTCCTCAAAGTCTTCGTTGAACAGGTCCTGGATGTCATCTTCCGGAACCGTGTTGGCCAGTTCGTCTATTAGTTCCTGCCACTCTTGGTCATTCAGGTTAATGTCAGAGAACAGCTTGTTCTGATTGGAAAGTGACGTTTCTGATGGGTCTATGCAGGCAGGGTCATCAAGAGGCTCCTGCTTGAGGTCCTTGCTTTGCAAGATAGCAAAGCTGTCCTCTAGATCCCCACAGCCATTGACGGGGAGTTTAATCTCAGGGAGCCTGCCATTCTTACCCAGATCGTCTAGAAGCCCAGAAGGGTGAGCTGTACTGTTCTGCAAGGGCAAAGAAGGCTTGAGGTCAAGTTGGTGAAGGGGTGAAGCTGAAGGCAGGGGCATGTTGTTGGGTAAACTGTTGATGGCTTCCATCCCCGTGGGAAGATCCTTGCGGATGCGCTTGTTTGTTGGGGAGAAGCTCCCATCACAGGCCCCATTCTGCTGGTCCCCGTTAAGTGGTGATCGAGCCCCTTCCAGTTTCCTTTTCACCGTCTCTTGGAGCTGGAAAAGAAATGAGAGAGGAGATGACGTAACCCTAGATTGAACTCTTAAACACTGTGATGTGCACTGTTGGGACCTACCTTTGTGAGCATACAAGCTGTGCATATACACACGCACCTGTGGACACACGTGTGCAGAGGACAACCTTGGGCACTGCCCACCCTGGCTTGAGACAGGTTGTCTCATTGGTTTGGAGCATACCCACGAGGTGAGGCTGGCCCATGAGTCCCAGGGACCTACCCACTTGCCTTATAATCCTTGCTGGGATTATAAATGGTTTTTTGGTTGCTTTTCGTAGGTTTTTGGAATGGAACTCAGATGCTATGATGAATAACCCTTGGCATGAACTTCGGTTGAAGTGCTTTAAAGCACACAAAGAGGAAAGGATGCTTCTAGTTTCATAATCAGGCGATACCATGATTCAAAATCCGCGAGTAAAGGCTTCATCTAAAAGCAGAGTTCAGAGAACCGAGAGATACGCAGGGTAAAGGTCACAGGGTAAGGGTCACCCGTAAGCATTTTCCAAATGAGAAAAAGTCCACACTTGAGAGGTGAACTCAAACACATCATGCTTGAGAAAGATATCTATCACCAATTCTTAAAACGCCTTCATAATTGAGGGAATTAAATTAATTCCCCATCAATGAATTAAATCAACAATACTTTGAAGAACACTAACAATGACTTTTTAAAAATCAGTTTATCGTAATGAGCTTGCAAACTGAAAAAAAAAATACACACAGAGAGATCAACATAGCATTTGCCCAGACCCAAAGTCTACAGGCCTCAATGAACCACACAGTCAGAATAGACAGTCAGAAACTGCGGCAGTGTCTTTGGGTTTTATGGTTTCATTATTAGTTACGTTATCCACCACAAGAAACCAAAAAATCAGGCAGAGAGTCCAAACTAGAAAAGCAAATAGTTTTATATCCATTTGTGACTTTATCTGCATTTTTTCCCTCCTTGTCCTTTCCCGTCCTTATACACACATACACATCTGTTCATCCATACACATGTATACATTATACAATAGATTCCCATATGAGGAAAAACAGGTATTCTTTTCTGAGAATGGTTAACCCTCGCTTAGTTTTATATTTTCTTGTGTTTTTAAAGATTCATTTACGTACATTTTTATGTACATTGGGGTTTTGCCTGCATGCATGTCCGTGTGAGGGTGCTAGATCCCTGGAATTGGAGTTACAGACAGTTGTGAGCTGCATGTGGGTACTGAGAATTGAGCCTGGGTCCTTTGGAAGAGCAGTCGGTGCTCTTAACCTCTGAGCCATCTCTCCAGCCCCAGTTTTATACCTTTCAAAGTCCATCTCCCTGCTAGTTTTGTGGTTTCATTTTTTTTAAGAGCTGGATGGTATTCCATTTTATGTACGTAGCGGAGTTTCATCATCCGCTTATCTGTTGATGGACAACTGGGTTGGCTCCATTCTCTTGCCATAGTGGCCAGAATAGCGAAAATGTTTTATGAATATGGATTTAACACACTACCGAATAATAGACAGAGGCCAAGGTGGTTCAAGGTGGGGTCCAGAACAGTTCCTCTACCTGGGAACCCCGCTCTAGGCCGAGACACTATTTTACAGATCCTCTGGTCGAGAGGTGCTGGATTTCCTCTGAGCTGCACGCTGTGACATTGGCGCGGCTCTAGAGGAGCCCCGCGGGTCCCAACACCAACCTGGTGATGTGGGTCTCAAAGAGTACACACTTTGCTGGAAGCAGAGAACTCCGTTTCTTTAACGCAAGCAGAGTCAAAGGGGACCTTGAGCCGAACTCTTTTTTTCTTTTCTTTTTTTTGATTTCCAAAGAAAACTAAATTTATTTGCCTGTTGTGAGTAATCTTTTTTTATTATTCATATATATATATATATATTTTATTGAGAAAAGGAAAAAAAAAGTTTCCCCCTCCTCCCAGCCTCCCATTTCCCTCCCCCTCCTCCCACCCTTCCCCCCCACTCCTCTCCCCCTCCCTCTCCAGTCCAAAGAGCAGTCAGGGTTCCCTGCCCTGTAGAAAGTCCAAGGTCCTCCCCGCTCTGTCCATGTCTAGGAAGGTGAACATCCAAACTGGCTAGGCTCCCACAAAGCCAGAACATGAAGTAGGATCAACTTATCTAATTCTTTCCCCCCAAATCTTAGTTTTAGTTACAAACCGGCACCTGTCCTCGTCACTCAGTTGAGGCTCCTGAACAGCTGAAAACAGGGACCTAACTGGGCCACCCTGGAACTTGATTTCAGATAGAATGATGCTTCAATCCATCACGTTAAGGGACCACTGCTAGGAAGTAACGTTATTCATGGAGCAAACCAGAAAGCCACGGTTTGGATCATCAGTATGACAGGTGCCTGAATGTATGTAACTTCAAACACGGTGACAGAATCAAGTGTCACAGCTTAAAGGCCTCACAGAAATGAGGCCTGGGTACCTCCGAAGTGATGTTACGCCTCAGAAAATGAGTTCTTGTCCTAAAAAATGAATCTGATGTTATTTTAGGACTCGCGGGCCCATGATTCTGCTCTAGGTCGTGTGGTGGATGAACAGGGCTGAAAAATAAAGAGGCCCCACTTGTTGCCCCTATAAAACACGGGTGGCCAAGGCTTCAAAGGCAAGTCAACAGGTCTGCTTGGGAACCCAGTCACCTCTAAGAAGTTAAAGGCAAAACACGAGAGCCCAGCATTACAGAAATAAGAGCAAGGCCCTGGAGTGAGACGGAGGCTCAAGATCTCGCTACCCTCGCACTGACAGGGCAGACGGTACCCAGGAGTGGATGGCCGCAGTGCCAGAATGGCCACACTGAGATCCCCCTACCCACGCACTGACAGGACTGTTCGGTACTCGGGAATGAATGGCCGCGGTACCAGAACGGCCACACTGACGGCTTTCTGTTCTGCTTGCTTCTGAGCCCCTGGCAGCTGCCAGCTGACGCTCAGAGGATGAATTTAGAGAAATGTCTATAAATTGTCCCAAATTTGGTTTCATGGCTTCCCAAATGGGCTAGTAATACTTAGCTCATGGAACTACTGTGAGGGTGAGTTCATAGGAGATAATGTGCAAACACATAATTTTGCACGTGGGACCCACGCAGCACTCACTACGGCCTTAGCTATACTATTTTTAAAATTCAGTCACGACTGCCATGGGGACAGAATGCTTCCTGAATCTTCAAGACACAGATAGGTATAATGACAATATTTCTGTTCCCTAGCCGGCCAAACCGTAATGTTTCCCAAGCATCTGGAGGAGCTTTCTTAATATGAACAACGACAACAACAAAAATCAAATTTGCAATTCAAGCCCGAGTCCAAGTGCTGCTAATGCATGCGTGTCCTAGATTGTAGAAGAGGGGAGGCTACGTTGTTCAGGTTCAAACCAAGTACACTCCTAGCACATTGCCTCAAAGGGCCTGTGCCGTAGATTCGTTTCCCTGGGGGCTTCATGTTCCTGCTGCGTGTGTGTGTGTGTGTGTGTGTGTGTGTGTGTGTATAAATAATCAGCATTTGGGAGTGTGGAAAGGACGGCATCAAAGATGCTATGCCATGGTTTTTATGTTTGGTTTTGTTCTGCCCAAAACAGCAGAGCAATCTTACATCAGTTCTCTCTGTCTCATCATCCTTTGTTTTATAGAAAGGTGGTCTCTGAAAATCTAATTCCCTCTTTATGACCCTCGTGGGAGAAGGGGCCGTGGGGAGGGAGCCACGGAGCGGGTTGTGTGTTTGAGAAGCTGAGGAGCAGCTTGTTCTGTGAGCAGGAGACTCCTGGGCTGCGCACGAGCAATCGTCCCGGAAGTTCCCACTCTTAGGGACTTGGGTCAATCTCAGCTCCAATTGCCTATCTCAACAAGATTCCGGCCCTCTTGCTTGCCAGAGCGGAAAACCTCTTGGTACACTGTGCTCTCGTGAACAAGCACGGAAGCTTTAGCGAGGCTTAGCCCTTTTGTTTCCATGTTACCGCACTTCCACAGAGATGTTTTCTCCCGTTAAGGGGAGCTGAGCTGCCAGGAGCTGAAGTGTGCCGTTCAGCTAATGCCTGTGACAATATGGGCTGCTATCAGGTGTCAAGTGCTCTGGAGACGATAATTCCCCTTCCAGAATGCTCTAGAGATGGCCTCCTCTCTGCAGTGTGGCTTGATAGCTGGCGTTCATGTTAAATTACAGGATATAGATGAGGATAGATGAGGCAGAGGAAGCGAGAGGGGAGAAAACCAGAGGTTGAGAGGGACAGAATGGTGTGTGCCTGTGAGTGAATTGTGTGTCCCAGATCCACAGTGGTAAGAATAACGGATACCTACACATCATTGTTTATTGCAGGTAATCCACAACACTGTGATATGGAAACAACCCTTCAACTGAGAAATAGATTTTAAAAAAAAAAAATAATGTGATATAGGACCGGTTAGATGACTCAGCGGGTAAAAAAAAAATCCTATTGTAAGCGTGACAACTTAAGTTGATTCCCAGGACCTACATGGTGGAAGGAGAGAGAAGGCACCCAGAGATCGTCCACTGATCTCCACATGTGTGCTGTGGTACAGGCGCATGGCATATACACTACAGAACACGAGAGAGAGAGAGAGAGAGAGAGAGAGAGAGAGAGAGAGAGAGAGAATATGAATATGGGTATTTTTCAGCCATAGAGAAGAAGGAAGTAAAACAGTTGAAGGTAGATAGATGCTACTAGAGATTATTATGCTACGTGAATAAACACATCCAGTCTCCAAAAGTCAAACATTGCATGCTTTTCCTTATTTGTGGGTCCCAGACTTTATATACAGGTACAGAAAATCACATATAAACAGATAACACGAAAGCAGACCAATGAGAGGGGGCAGGGAGGAGGGAAGGGCAGAAGATGCTTGAAGTGTATCACGTATGTGTGTGGGAATGGCCTCATTTAGCCTGGTTTAATAAAATAGTTTCTGAATGAATTGCTGTGCCTTTAAGTTACAAGCACATACGGTCACAAAGGATAGCGGTCATCCTTACAGCAG